GTAAAAAGATGACTGAAATGACTGTCCTATCCTTTAGCTACAGGTTTGAAGGGATTTTTGTCCTTCTATCAAATGTATTGGGTTTTGCTACTATGTTTCTTTTTGCTTTATATTACTCATCCCCTTTGTGTCAGATAATGCAGAGCTAGAAATGATGCCCTATATTGCAGGAACTGTAAGGTCACTTGTATACATTTCTGAGACATTTAGAGTTAGCCAAATGGATACTAGCCCTTATTCTAGAGCCATCAATTTTCAATTCAAGCAATATCAGTTCCTCAGGGCTAAATTTATAAACCTAAGCAGACTGGCAACCTTCCAGGGTACTGATGCTGAGTAGGTATGCTTGTTGTAATGTTCCAGTTTACTATAGTAGATACTGTCTTTAAAGGCAACACTGAATTCTAATGGCAATATGAGAGTTACTGTATTTTGAGAAGTACTTTTAAATGCAAGTGCTGGAACTGCTATTTATCAGTGCATCTCAGACGTTTAACATTTACTGTGCAGTCATACAGTAGTACGTGAATGGTAGGTAATGCACTGAAAGGTATTGGACTACGTAATCATCAGCTGCGCACTGCACTAAATAATCCTGCTCAATTAATTCAGAATTGCTGCTGTAACCAGGTTTCTGGATGTTGAGCAATCCTGGAAAGATAGGTGCAATCCTTAAGTTACAGCATCAGGAAATGCTCTTGTACTTTTCAGGGAGAACAGTACAGAGTTACAAGGTAGGTGTGGTAGTATATTTTGTTCTAAGAGGGGTAGTCTTCCATAGAGTGAGGAACCTTCATGTGAATTGCATGATGGTCACAGGACATGAATGGCTGGACACTGTCCTGAGCAACCTGATGTAATTAGACCTACTTTTAGCAGAGAATAAGACTGAATGACTTCTGGAGTTCCCTCTCAGGATAAATTCTGTGATTCTGTGGTCATATGCAGTGATTCCACATAGAAAAAGTTTGAATGGTAAAAAGTCTTACTTTAGCACACACTGATTGCTAAGTTACCCATCTCACATGGAGTAATTTCTAGTTTACTCTAAGAAGTGGTTGATGTGTACCCTGTTCTTCAAGTTGTCCATATACTCTTTATATTTACTTCTTGGTTATTTTATTATATATATGAATTCTTGTCTTTAGTTCTGCCTAATTGAGTGTGATGGTATGTGCTGGGGATGACCTCCCTGTTGTAGGGGCTGTTTTCTTGAAACACGGGAGAGAGCTGTGTGACAAGCACCACCACGTGGTACAATGGTGGAGTACCACATTGTGTCTTGGAAGTTTGCCTTCTGGTAGGGCAGGGTGCTTCACATCTCACACTGAAACAAAGCCTTAATCTTTCTCCTGCAACTTAATCTCACTGGCCATATCGTCAGTAAATCATAGTTTTCAAGCAGACCATGTGGACCTGAATCCATGAGTGGATTCAGGAATGGAAGTGTCATATTATGTTAGGTTATATGAAAACTTCAGGAATATTCTGGCAGCAGGTCACAAAAGAAGACAGATCAATGACTGAGTTCTACACTTAAGTTACTGCTATAAACTAATAATTTCTTCAGGTTTATATAACTTCCTTCCTAACTGTCAGACCTTCTGCTCTTAGAATAGAATATGGAACTGAGGTCTGCTGCTGAAAAAGTCGCTGAAAGTATCTCTTTGCAAAGTAAACAGGTTCAATCTACAACCTTGCCATCCCCTCTGGTATTGTGAATGATGTTACATGGTGTGCGGTGTGTTTATTGCTGCTTTTTTTTTGTTTTTCTAAATCATTTTTCTGACCCTTGACTTAGCAAAAGCTACTCCTTAGTACTTCAGTGTGCTTATTATGTCAATGTCCATTCAATGCTTATTAATCTACAGATAATTTTATATATCTCTGTGTTTACATGAAAAATAAACATTATTAAACATAACTTACTTTCTGTAATGTCAGGAAGCTAAGACTGTTTAAATATGTTAAGGAACTCAATCCAATATGCTCGTCTTGAAATATGTTCTGCTTGTCTTTACAACTTTCAGTAACACTATTTTTACTTCATTAATTAGCTTGAGTTGAAAGGCACTAAAATAACACAGACTGATACAGAATTTTCAAATATTTTTCTTTCAATCACTAAATTATATTCAAATGCCAACACAAATCATAATATTTACTGTATGTGAAAACAGATTGAACAGTTGGTTCCATGTAACATTTAAATAATATTTATCATAAAGATATTTCTTGATTAAGTACCCATAAGTTTTAAGATGCCTTCATTTTTTTCATAACCATAGACGTTGATTTTAGAAGACAGTCTCATTGTTCAAAATGAGAGGAGGCTCCAGTAACCTTTGAGCTACTGACTGCATACTACCTTGTACTAATTCTCATAGTACATACTTCATACTAGAATTGCTTGTAATAGGAGGATTGCCTTGCATTGTCATTATACAAAACCAGAAGTACTTCTAAGCAAATTCAGTACTTCAGAATGGATTCATGTGATTTAATATGCATTTTTTGATTACTGTCTAACCTTCTACAACCTTTACGGTCTGTCTTTCGCCATGAAAAATTCATCTCGCAGTCTATCAGGTGAAATAATAGTCCAAATAGATCTCAATTACCTCATCTTGACCTATTTTAAATCAGTACAGACCAATTCGTACAATAATTTCAGTACCACGTATCTCTACAAGCTCATCACTGGGATGAAAAGTCCCTAAACATATTCTAGAATTTATCAACCCATTCATTAAGACAATTTTTCCTCATATAGCATAACTCTCAGCAAACATGTTTCAGTGGCAAATAGCATCCTACTGAACGGATTGGTAGGTTGATCATCTGTGATACAGAATACAAAGTATATTCACATAAATCCACCTGAGTTAAAGTGAAGTGCTGAGGCAGGTACTGTTCTGAGACAGGATGCAGATTAGAAACAAAGCCAAATGTGTACATTATCAGTAAATATACTTGACATTTTTTGTCTCTTAAAGACTTTACTTAAACATAACTTGCAGTTAACATGCTGCAGCCCAGCTTCTCTGAAAAACAGGTGTGTTTGTGATAATGTCTGGATCCTGTTCTCTGCTTCTTATGACTTCTGATGACTTTCTACTTTTTAGACAGGAGTCTTTATATCTGTTACATGTTGTTCTGAAAGTTCTTGTAAAGGTAAACAGAACTTACTTCCCCTCCCTCCTTCTCTTCTGACTTCCAAGTCTGCAGAGCTGTTCCTTTCATATGTTCCTTTCACTCCACTTTTCTCTGTCCACAATTACATTTGTGTAGTAACTTTTTTAAAAAATTCTTAAATACATTAATCCAGAGGCATTACTGTCATTCCTGATGGGCTCCTCCTTGGCCAGTGGCAGGTTCATTCTGGACCTGGCTGGCATTGGGTCTGTCAAACATGGAGCTTCTGAAAGCCTGGAGCCCCCTGCTACCAAAACCTGGCCACACAAATCCTGTGATTACACGCCTGTAATGGGAGGGGAAATTATAGAGAAGTAGGGTGTCCCATGTTAATAGATGATTCTTTGTGCGAACCTGCCAACTAATTGCAAGGGTTGGTAAACGAAGGTGTCATTGTGGCAAATGTAGAAATCTCACAAGTTTGAATTCTGAGAGGTAGTCTTGATTCAGGAGACCATTTTCATCTGATCCTTTTAATACAACCTTTTTTTGACTACATATGCCTCTTTATCATGCGTTTTTCCCACTTCCCTATCAAATTATCAGAAAAAAATTGTTCTATTACCCAAGAGAAAAGCACAAATACAAGTTTTATTAAAATGTCCGTTCACAGTATATGCAAATGTATGTACCGATTGTGCCTAAGTCTTTCATGGATAGAATCAAAGTATCAAGAGAGACTACATAATCAAATGCTTACATGCTTGCAGTTGTACAGACATTGATAGTTGTTGGCATAATGACACGTTTCAGCCTTACTCTAGAATACAAATAGGTGTTTCATGGTGTAGTTCAATTTAATGAAGTGCTGAAGGCTGTGTCACCAAATGTATTGGATTGCTACATAGTAAAGGAAGAGTAAGCTGAACTGAAGATTTATTTTCAAGAGTGTCACTATGAAGCTCTGCATACTTAGGTATGAACTCTTCAGATTGTACTTTAGTCAGTTACTGGTAGACCCGTAGAGTAGTCCTGATTTGGATGTGATAACTGTTGACAGTGACAGGTATTTTGTTACGTTGGGATAGACGCATCTAGTACTCTTTCCATTCTTTTTCCATTCTGCTCTTGTCATCTTCCAGATACTGTTACTTCTCTTGTCTTCTAGCATACATCAAGCACATGAGAAAATGGAGTTCTGGGAGGGGTATCTTCTATCAGCAAGCAGCTGTACACTTGCCAGTTTGCAGTTAGGCGCTCATGAATTTGGCATGTGAAACTTCATTCAATCAACTAAGATTGAATGAAGCACACTCTTTTAAGCACTTTTGCTGTCAACCCTATTTCCCCTTTTCATGCATAAGCATGGAGGAAGGCAAGTTGGGTGTTCCTGCATCATATGCCTAAATTACATCTGTGACCTGTGCTGGTAGGACTTTCATTAGTATTGACTTAATGAACATGGAAATGAAATGCTGAAAGACTGTAATAGGTGCCTCTGTACTGTACTCATCTGCAGTAAGATGTGAAAATATCTGTGCTGGAACTGTTTATAGAAGTTTGCAGTAGTTTGCAAAGGAAGTTTTTAATTTCTAGGTGTATGTAGTTTCATAATTCCTTTATACGTCAGGCATTTATTTCTGAGGACCCTAATTGGGTTTGGAAGACATAGCTAAGCAATGCAACTGAATTTCATTATATAAGAAACCTGTAGAACATATATGTTTGAATTATTTTGTGTTCTTTGGTTTTGTGGAGGGTTTTTTCCCCCCCTTTTTTTTTTTTTTTATTTTTAGCATACTTTGAAAAGTTCTATTTAACAGCTTGGAGAAGAGTATTTAACAGCTCTGCGTTTTGTTTTTCAGTGTGCAGTGATCTGGAATTCAGGGAAGTAGCAAACAGATTGAGAGACTGGTTTAAGGCACTTCACGAAAGTGGAATTCAGAATAAGAAGACTAGGATTGTTCAAAGGCCTGAAAGAACCAGTAAGAGATTTTTTACTTGTCTTATTTGATGTTTTCTTTGATTCTTTTCTACTTTGGCATTTCCATTGCTAAGACTTGCCTTATTCTCACATGGTTTAAAGAGACGTGTACAAAATCATAACTTTGGGCTTTTCTAAAGTTAATTTCTTACTTATGGCTTAGTACTAACAGACAATGTTCACTTTAAACTTCCGATGTTATTTAGTAGTACAGCTGCTGTTCAGAATGCTTTTATTTGTGAATGCTATCAAATTGAAAGGAAAACACAAAGGAGCTGTAATTATGTGTGACCCATTGTTGCTAGGTGAAGCCACTGTAGGTGCTGCTAAAGAAAAAAACATGGAAAAGGAGCTTGTAAGTAAAAATGGAATTTTCAAGGATGAACTTGAAACTGGGAGAGACTCAGGAGTACTAATGAAATGGAAACAGTAAGGGTCATAATTTGGTTTTAACCCTCTCAAATACTTAAATGGTTTCTTCTCTTGTGGAAAGCAGTAAAACTTTAAAATGTAATTATCAAAGAGCTTATTTTAAATAGCAGTTGAAGTGTGCATTAATAGTTTCAAGAGTCATGTCCTACTGTGAATCAGAGTCAAATTAGATTTGATAAGCCATAAATTAATGGCTTAATATGAAGAGGTTAATATGAAGAGCAAACTATGACACTTCCAGTATATGTTTCACAGAACTTGACCACCACCAGCTTCTTACTTTACTTATTTTATTATTAGCTTTTTTGAGTATTTGAAATATTTTTTTATTATTTTTCTTTACTTTTGTTTGATTACAATTTGTGGCATTAATTTCTCTTTTTTTAAGAAATCGATTAATTTAATTTCATTGGAAATATCATTGTGTCATTTGTTCATCTAAGTATGATGAAGTGCAAGCACAAAGTTCTTAAGTGTGAGATTTTACCTTTAGACATCTTTTTTGACCTTTTTTCCGTAAGCACACAGGTGGTATTAATAAGACCTATGATTGATACTTGAAGTGGTCAACTCTATTATGATGAGTATCTGGATGTAATATTTATTTTGTCACTTGTTTGTTTGCAAATTTTTATAATAGCAATCAAGGACTGTATTTAGACTTAAGAGCTAAAATTTTAGTATGTGTGACTAATAATGCAGGAGTCTCTTGAATTTTTGAATCTTGTCGAGTTTGGAAGCCTTAATGTCCTCTCCTCTGACAGTGTAAAGGATCCGCATATATTTTAGGGGGTATCTGAAATTTAAGGCACAAGTTAGATTGGATCCTATTCTATCATTTTTTTGAGAGATAGAATCAAGAATTGATTTGGATGGCTAAGAATAATCTTTGCAGGGCTCTTTTTCATCAGCAGGTAAGAAAGTACAATCTGTATGGAAAAATCTGTTTCCTGTGCACTACTGACTTTAAACTCCTGTCAATATCATGATGTCAGAAATGTTTGACTTATGTTTGTATCATGGTACCAGAAATTGGAATGGTGAATGAAATATTTATTGCTATCCCGATTCTAAATTAGATGGAAGTGTGATGATAGGCTTTGGTATGTTCTGTTTATTTTTACTAAAACAAAGTAAATCAAATTCTAGAAAATGATTACATGTGAGACATTCAGTTTTTCGTATATTTTCTTCTTTTCTTTTTCTTTTCAAAATGAAAAATCCACACTGCCTCACAAAAACATTTGAACTATATGATAACTGTTTAGAGATTAGTGTTTTAGTACTCTGGTCAGTTACTCAAACTGCATGTTGGTAATCGGGAAAAAATATAGCTTTCAGATATAAAAGATTCCATTTGTGCAGTATTTATTTGATTTTATAAATAACTGGTATTTACATGATTGTATTAATCTGACAGGCTACTGCAGAAAGGCAGTCCATCTATATACAGAAAGCAATGGAATGAATAGATATTATATATATGAATAGTTTTTTCCTTTGTGGATTTCGGGATGCACAAATTATCTTAAAACTGGTTTTGTTCATGCAACTGTATGTTTTTTCTAGTATGTACATTTCTGTACTTCAGAATTTCTCATTTGAGGCAGCACAATATATATCTCATCTTATGAGGAGTTAATATGTCTGTGGTGTAGAAGGAAATCCTGTATCATTATGTCCCTGTAAATGCATAAAGAAACAAGAAATAATGATAACCATTCAACATGGTAATGTCCTTACTAATAACATGAAGCAGTTCTTAAAATTGTTCTTGAAGAGCTAATCTCTTGAGTAATATCCCTCTCTGTCTCTCTCTGAAGTAATAGGAGGTCAAAGACATTAGGCATACTGATACACAAACATACCAGAGCTGCCCAGCCCCTGTGTTGGGGATGTTAGAAAGCTACACCTACAAATAAATCTTTCAAAGAACTTATCATGTATAATGAATTTGTACTTACATATACACATGAGACATAGTGGTCTGTACAGAACAATAGCTATGACAAAAAAAACCACCTGAATGCAACTTCCTCTTTCAGTGTCCTAATTATTCTAGCAAATCCCTGGAGTTGTTCGTTACCCCTGGGGAGTTAAAAATCTGTTTTGGCACCTTTTCCCCCAGGCCTTCCTTTATTCTTGTCATAAAGTTCCCTCCTCACTGAAAAACTGAATTTAAAAAAGCAATTTCTGACACCCTTTCTGCTTGTCTGTTTGTGTTTAGGATTTTTCATATTTCATTCTCTCTGGTGGCAATTGGAACAGGATTTATTAAAAGACTTGGGCACAGTTCTTCTGACCAACCCAGATGTGGTGCAAGTGTGTAGTGCCTTGCTGGAGTTTTTCGGAATTGTTTCAGCTATTAAATAATCCACATTGGTCCATAAAATCATTCATATTACTTCTAAACAAATCAAGCGATAGTGTTTAAGTTGTTCTGCTGGAGCCATCAATATTCCGATAACAAGTTAAAAGTGTAAGGTGCCTACATTGTTGTGTTTTTACAAGAATAAGGTAATTTTGCTTTACTGACATGTTTTTTTTTTTTTTCCAAAGCTATATCTTATTAGTAATTCAGACTAGACTATTTCAAAAAAACTATAGGGTTTTGTTTCCAAAATTCCTTTTATGTCCATTTGTATTCAAATGGAATATATCTAGAAGTATAATTGACATAAATACTATATAAAAATTTAAATCTTTTCCTCAAACCATTTGAGGTCTAAATCAGTGACAAAGGATGCTCTACCGTCATGCTGCAGTAATACCCCCATTATTTTTCCCATATGGATAGGAAAATATGGAGTTAAAAAATAAAGTGACATTTTATATAGCTATTTAAATTCTATTAAAATATTGTTCTATTTCTGTATTAATTTTGTGTGATAAAACACAATATTAATGTATCGTATACAAAGCACAAAAAGTACCACAGTCCCACAAATATTTCTTACAGGCACTCTATTTCTGAAGAGGACTTGTACACTTAGTCATGTTAGAAGATGAAAGACCAGAGGCCAAAAGTAAAAGAGAGTATTCTTATGTCTTGGAAATAATATCATTATTTGGAGTCTAATACACTCATAATTTTAAAAATAACGTAAAAATACAAGTAGTCTGAAATGAAATTACATATAATTGGCTTGTCTAGAACTAGCATAGTGAGATATTATTTGACTAAAATTGACAAATCCCCATACAAACTTGGAGCAGGAAAAGACCAATTTTGTAAAAAAAGGTAAATAAAATAAGCAACTTCAGATTTTTTTCTTGGAGGTTTTTATTTCTTTCTGACTATCTTAAATTCCTTATCCATGAAGAGACAAGCTGATATTATACAGTGATCAATTACAATTCCCTGATCTTCATTGCTGAAGCATATTTGGAAATCCTGAGGTACAGACAGAACTTGTAAGCAGAACAATAAGGTTTTTCTTACTCTTGTCAGTACTCTTCCATATAGTCGCTGTGCAGTTGTAAGAGCTAGAAAGAGTTATGATTTTAAATGGCATTTTTGACATCTTCAGGATGCTGACTGCCTGAGATTTTGTCTTAATTCCTCAGATTGTCTCAGGAAATGTCACATAAGCTGTACTGCAAAGTTGTACAGGCTGGCAACCTGAACCATAATTCTCGTTTGCTAGAAAGAAAAGGTTCTTCTAATGAATTTCTGCATGTATCAGGTTAGCTTATGCAAAGATATCCTTAATGCAAGAGTCTGGAGGAAGAAATCCATCATAGAAGTAATTCTGACCAAGGATTTTAATTAATTCATCTCTACTTAAAATTAAGACTCTGAATGAACTAAATCAGTATTGTTGACTGAAGTTGGTTTTTACTCTTTCATTTTTACAGAATTATTCTTATGCACAATGAAGTATACAGGGATGTTTGTTATAGCATTTTATTTTATTTATTTCTCCTCAGATATCTTCTACTTTTCTTTGACAGTCACACTTATTAATAAAATGGTCAATAGGATGTCCCAAATAATACATTTCATCCTAACTCTCAAGATATTAGGAAACTGATAGCCTCCAGCAATAGGATTCACCATGATTTATCCCTCTCCTCCCCCATAAAATTCTTTGTAACACTTTCTTGAAAAGTAGAGACTTCAGGATGCAAACCGTTACAGGTGTTTAAAGGACACTGCAGCTGTGCTTCATTTGTTCCTCTTGTACATTTTGTTGTAAAATGAGAGTCAGCTTTCCTAGGTTTATCATAATACCTTTGGTACCTTCCCCATGTACCATTTTCCCCAGGGCCAGGAGCTGGTCTCCAATGATCCCTGTGGTCCCTTCCAGCTCAGGATATTCTTTATTTCTGTTCTGACCTAACCCAGCTTTAGACAGGTGACAGAGAGTGTTAAAGCTGTCTCCTTCTTGGGCTAGTGTGGAGCCAGATGAGGCTCACCTAGATCAGTACTGTTGTGATGAAGTACAGCAGAAGGCAGTCACACTTGCTTAGTCCTCTTTATTGTAGTCTTTCCTGCTCGGGTCTGTCCTGATTACATTGGGAAGTAAAACATTTTCTCAGCTTTTAGTCAACCTGAGCTGTGAAATGCTGTTAACTGAAGATTTTCTGCAAGCCCAAATATTACAAAAATCCATTACAGTTGAAAACCTTCTTGCTGTGCAGCTGGCACTCTGAACAGATAAAATCCATGGTCTAGGTCACAGTTAGGACTCTGACAGAGTGCACATGTGTTTATTCACGTGTGATTTGTCAGTTTTTTTATTGTTTCAGAGAGTGTACTGGCATTGGAAAGAATCATTCACTTTTTGATGTATTAGATAAACAATTTCTGCATAATGCAGTATGTGAGCCCTATCTGTGTATGTATGCTGTTTTGGTTTCCACATGAAGTCAAAATTTTTCTTCCTCAATATACACAAGTATTTATTGCTTATGTCCTTAATAAGCAAGCAAACAATAGTTTTACCTTGGAAAGCAGATTATATTTACTAAGAGTTGAAATTCTCCCCTGAGAAATAACCAGAAACAGGAGCATTTCTGTTGGTTCCTTTTGAGTAAATGTTTTGAATGCTTAGTGTATAAGCTGTGGAGGAGGGCTATATTTCTTAATAATTTTCCCCCTAGGATTGTTTTGGCCTAGAAAAAGAGCTTAAGCTGGCACTTCACATTTTTCTAGACAGTGTTCAGAAATAGCTTCATAAAAGCTCATTTTATTATGGTATATGGAAATAGGTTTTAAATAAGTGGTTAAAATTAGAGAAAGAGAAAATCTTATTTCATAATTTAGTCATCTGAGCAGCATTTTTTGCTCTCCTCAGTATAATGTCCTGGTAGTTCATAATTAAGAATAAATTACTATCATTCAACATACCAATTCATCCCCCTTAGTTTCTGCTTAGTGTTTTCTGTCAGAACTGTAAAAAATGTCTGAAAAACAGCATTCTAGTATGTAATGTGTAACTGGGGCTACTGATTTGCTAGTACTAGGCCACGTGGTGATTTTTTGATTCTTAGTTCTGTATCACCTGACCCCTTCATTTGTCAAATCACGTTAGCAGATGCTAAACTCTAGATATGTACCTAATTGCTTTTCTGTCCCTTTTTCGCAAGTATAACATTTCCAGGGTGACAGATGTATTCTTTTATCAATGTTGTAATAGTGGGAAGAAGTCATTGCCAAGAGAAAATACTTCTAGATAATCTCAAGTTTGGACAGTTCCTTAAAGGTTCTTTTAAATTGAACCAAGAATTTTACTTTACCACAGTATTCTCTAAAAGAGTTGATAATGTGGAAATGGAACTGATAGTGATGATCTTTTTGTGGTGTAGCAGTTCTGGAAGAGGTGGACTGCTCCATTTTATATCTAACAAAGCTGCCTCTATCTCTGTCAACACATGCTGGCTTACCTCTGAAATGCTTGAGACGTTTTTATTTGTTTCACCAAAACTAGAATTTACCTAGATTTCAGACATTTCTATACTGCAGTGACTGATGGTTGTGAAATAGTTTGGCTTGATGAAACAAGACAAACGAAAACTTAGAAGATACGTGATTTTCACTATTTAAACGCTAAAATTGTGTATACTAGAGAAGAGGAAAAAAAATAGTAAAAACAACAACAAATATACCTGGGCTATAAAGGAAAATAGAAACTACTTCAGAACCAGACTCTGAGAAAGAGACAAACTGCTTTCAAGGTAAAGCATGATCAGTTTTAGAAATTATTAAATCAAACAGTTATTTAGTAGAAAGCTAGACCCCATGACCCGCAGTGCTGTTTCTCCAGCATATGATACTATTTAATAGATAGGTTATGACAGCTTTAATAAATGTAAGCTTTATTTTCCAGGCTTGGAAATAGCATAAAAAATTTCATATATGAAGTGTTATTGTTTAAACTAGGTTTATTAGTTCTGATGTACCGGTTATAATACATCCCTGTTTCTGAGAAGAGTATGCCATGCATAACAGACTTCAAACGTGATATTTAAATATTTAACTACATTGAACCTTAAGTGGATTTATTGAAAATATTAGAACATAGTGACATTTTTCTGGTGCTATCCTGTTGATATCAGTGATCTGTAATAAAATCATTGGTCTTTTAATGATATTGCTGACTCCAGTGCAGTTTTTTTAAATTCAAGCTCTGTCCTTAACTATGACAAAGGTAATAGAGAAAAGGCTGGTGAGACATTACTATTAGGCACACTTTTTAAAAAATCTAAAACCTGTATAGAAAGAGGTAAGGAAAAAAAATGAAGAATAGGAACAGAGGATGAACTCAATTCACAGGCTAATGCCAATTAAGGGAATCAAGAAAAAAATAGGGATAAAGTCTTACACAGTTGTACAATATTGTTCCACCCTTAATGTAGTGATGCGTACAACCTTTGAAATGTTCAATGTTCTTTCACTACTCTTCAGATAAATTTATTTCTTTTTGGAGTATAATTTGAAACTGATTGAGAAGTAAAATAAGCAATTGTTCGGGGGTTTTTCTGCTTTTCCTTAGTATAGTTTATTAAATACATAGTGCTGTCTTCTAGTGTCCTAAAATACAAAGTACTTTATGATGTGAGCTTTGCCAGCTTGGACCATAAACACTAATTTAAAGATACTTTGCCTGCAGTTTGAAAGTGATGCTTCTTTCAATACATTTACGCTCAAAATTCCACATGCAGATGTATTATCTACAATTACTTACTTTGTCCCACAAGATATACCTGAATACACCCTTGAAGTGGCTTTTATCTTATATTCCCATATAGCTGGCATCTCATTAATTAAAATCTGTCTCCTCATGGTTGCTCTTTTTCTGCCCCTTCTCTTACAGTTTGGTGAGCTGGCCAGAGTGCTAAATTCAGAAAAAAAATGTGAGCACAAGAATAAATTCTCCCGTCATGCAGGTACACAAAAGGCAGGATAGGTGACAGTACGTTTCATGTCTACCTCTTTCTGAATCCAAGGTCGTGAGGAGGATCTCTAGCTAAAAGCAGGAGTAGGAGAGAAAGTGTTAAGAGGCCTTCAGGAACAGAGCCTTATAGGTAAATAATGTTATACTGAATATTTAATCTTAAATAAAATGTTTTAAGATGAAGGAACCTTCAAGAATTTTTCTAATCAGAAACACCTGTTGAATAATTTGATATCTTTTACAGATAAAGTTGAATAACACATCTACTGTATTATGCTTATTCATTCTGTTGGGTCCTCATTGCTTTTCATAATACACAGAAAAGAAGTTTTGTCTTTGCATGTTAACAGGGACTGGAGAGGAAGAGAGAGGCCATTGGTTGAATGCTTGGCTATGTTTTTAAATTGTGTTAAACTCATGAAAAATATTATAAATATCAAATGGCTGGCCTTTTTTCTTTTTTTTCTTTTTTTTTCTTTTTTTTTTCCTCTCCTTTCTCTCAAAGAAAAATAATAATTAATGCAATAGATCATCAGGGAACAAAGAAAAGTGAGATCACCCTGATGAAAAGTCGTAGTTAGTTTAGGATTTCTGGGAAAAGGGGATTTATGTGGTGGTCTGACTTCCACAAGGAATTTTTGATGCTATCAACTTTCTTTTACTTTCTGAAGTGGTCGTTCTGCCATAGTATGGACATCTACATATGCAGATATATATGTAAAAGAAAATTTACTGACTTCTAAATACAGTTACTGCGTTATCCAATTTAACCTGTTTTAGCGGTATAGAAGTGCTTTTCAGATTTCTCTAATGTTGTCAAAACAACAGCAAAGGCAGGCAGACAGGCTTGATTTTTACCAGCAGTAGAAATTGGGAATTCCTGTGTCCTCTCATGTCAACTTTTCTATAGTCATATCTACCAATCTCATTTTGACTTAAAAGTTTCCAGACGAATACTATTTAGTAGCACTAAATCTCATTCTACATTAAGATATATACTTAAGTGCCTGGCCATATGCATGACCCATAGCACATGAACAAGGAAAAAAGTGTGTATATATTGTATGCAGCTCACATCTTCAACATAGGTGAGAGTCCTGATGGTTTCTGAATTTCCTGTTCATGTCCATGTGCAAGTCTGCATGTACTTTAGAGTTCATAAAAGAATCACAAACATGAGGTCTGAGCTCTGGATGCAGGAATAATTAACTCAGCTTGTTCCAGCTGACCTTTTTCCAAGCAATGATTTAGGAAGTTGCAGGCTCTATCAGTAGGTCTGATACTGGCAATCAGCTGCTCTTAGCAATCATCTTTTCCATGGCATCCTCAGAGATAGAAAGTACACCAGGTAAAAAGATAAAGTACAAATTTCAAAGCATTGCTGAGGCTGACTATCATTACTTTTTCACAGATTTAGATGTATATTGATGGAACAAAAAAAACCAGCCCATGGACTCCAACAAGTTATCTGGAATTTATTTCTCTTAACTTTGCAAACTGCTTATCCTGATTTATAATATCACCTAAATTCCTTAACAGAATTATTTTCCAGGAAATCATTGTATTTCATTTATTAGCATGCATAATGTGTGTCTGTAGTTATGACATTTGACAAGAAAACTTGTATTTCTAAATGCTTTGAGACCGACGATGGGATTATTTTTTTAGCAGGTTAATTTAATTATCTTTAAATTGAGTCTGACATATAATTTATTTATAGTATTTCAATAACCTACACTGTGTATATACTGTATATGTGTACCACCAGAGCTGTTACCGTGATGCAGCATTCTTTTGTGGTGGCTGAGCTCAGCAGCTGCTCTATCTTTCTTAGTGTATAATTTTTATTATTTTTGTTTTGCCTCTTAGGATTTGATACCAGCATTTTGCCAATTTGCAAAGACTCCCTTGGCTGGATGTTTAATAGGCTTGATACGAACTATGACCTGCTACTGGACCAGTCGGAACTTGGAAGCATTTACCTTGACAAGAATGAGCCGTGCACCAGGGCGTTCTTCAATTCTTGTGACACATACAAAGACAGTTTGATATCTAACAATGAGTGGTGCTACTGCTTCCAAAGACAGCAAGGTAAAAGATGAGAACAATCTGTGTATGTAAATGACTGACCTTTTTGTTGGGCTTCATCTTTTTTTAATATATTAAGAAGATTACAGTAAACTACAAGCTCTTTAAGTGCTGTACAATGAATTTGTGTTGAGGTTTTTGACCTATGGTGAATACCTAAAATGAAGTAAAAAAATCACAAACAAACAAAAAACCCCAACCCAACCTAAATGGAAAGGCCTGCTAAAAATTCAAGAATTCTAAATGAAGTGCAAAACAGCAACAAATGCTTTTACAGCTATATTGTTCCTTGTGCCAACATCCAGTACATATGTAGAGAGAACATAATAAGGAACAAAATTACTTAAATTATTTCTTTCACAGTCTACTTTGCCTAAATTATAAAAGAAACTTTTTCTTATTGCTAATGTAGAGTATCTTAATGTTCTGTGAGCCTAATAAAATAGCTGAATGAATAGTATAGATAGTTATTTCCAGTCATTTGGATCTAAAACCAGTAGATTTTTATTGCCTAGTTAAAAATCTTGTTAATGTTCTGATGTTATGCAAATAAACACAGCCTATAAGCATTATTTTTCTGAGGACTATAAAAATTTTTAGATGTTGGTGAGACATCACATATATTATATAAACAAACTATTTATAATGTATCAAGAAATTTCCCCATCAGATATTGTCCGAAAGTGGTCAGAATTGCCCCTTCATTTCTCTTACTAACATGAGGGAGTTTTTTTGAAGGATAAATAGCAACCAGGGTTTAAATTTATTCTGCCAGTAGAGGACATAAAATGATTTGGTGGAAATTTTGCAAAGTCAATTCAACCTGTTTGAAAATTTTAGTATCAATTTTTAAATCTCACTTTTGCCCTTAAAACTGTCATGATAAATTCCCATTGTCACTCAACATGATTCTGATTTTTTTGGAAATAAAGGTTTTTATCATGCCACATCTACCAGTGGTAATACTAAATAAAAATAAAACTATACTTCTGTAGATAAATACTGAATAGCAGATTTCTTTTCTTTGGTAACTTTGCAGTTAAAAAGCTAACATTTAAACTTTCAAAAAGCCTTGTTTGTTTCATAGTAGAAAAATAATTTTGGCTTTTATTTTATAAGCATGTATGTAGTGCTGAAAAAATTAAAAAATAACCCATCACAGAAGTAAAGTAGTTCCTAAAGAACATAACATGTTTTGTTCAGTTGTCTTTAAAATTAAAAAAAAAAACCAAACCACCACAATAATTTCAGCTTAATATATAAAGAACTTTGGAGAGCAGCATAATTCTTACCAGTTGCCAGCGGAAGTACAACACATAATATGTGGCCTAGTATGGTGCAGAGTTTTTCTACCAATTTATATAATGCATGTACGACATAACCAGGGCTTTAAGAAAACACTTCCATAGTTTAGTTTCAGGTAGTTTTGCATTCTATAGCCTATAAACTGATTTTGTCTAAAATATTTTCTCAGCAGACTGCTAGAATCTGAGGATGGTATTGTAAAGACTGATCTAAATGCTACAGAATGTTATTAATGGTACCCCATTAGATCCAGCTTTCGGTGACACTGATTCTCCACATTGCAGAATCCAACATAATCAAGCTTTCCTTCCTGTTTTTACTGATTTCCTCACTGTCTTGATAATGGTGTTGAGATCAGACACTGATTTTAAACAGATTAGATAGACTTTGATACCACAATGTACAAGCATATAGTAGAAAAGGTGTGTCCTCAACATTGTAAATGAAGTGAAGTGTCAATTTCGGCAATCCTTGCAGATTACACACGCACTTCATCCTTCCAAATTAGCACTGTCATCAAAATCTGTTTTCTCCTTTTTAGTTGTAAGGAGAAAAAAGAAACCTGTAGTCTTATTTTGTCATGTCTTATTATTAACTCTTGCACAACAGTCTGAGTCCTAACTCCTAGTATTAGTAACCCACTGAATTCTCTTTAGTTTGCAGTGTTATGCTAAAACTTTGGAATATATTCGTATTTGGTTGTTTTACTTGATTGAACAGTCTAAACAAGGCCTTTAACTAAGCCTTTGCTATTAATAGCAAACAGATGGCAAAGTAGAGAAATTCACTGGCTTCTTTCTGATGTTTATCAAAAGAAGTTGATATTAACAGAATGCTTTGAGCCATGTAGAGCAGCTTCCTGTATTCATTGAGTTTAGTAGCTGCTTTCTGGGCAGATCAACAGCACTTCTACAGGTTTTACAGCACTGTTCTTGATTAACAATGTTCAAAAGTGAACACAAAATTTAGTCAACAGTATGTATCATAATGGGATAGCAATTTCATTGTGCTTTTTGAAAGCACATAGTATTGCTGAAGTCGTTATCTGAGAAGCCCTCATGGTCTTCAATCTTAGCTTCATGATGCTAGACTGTCAGGATCAAACAATTACTTGCAACTCTTCTTTCTTTCTGCTTGAGGTATGCCATGATGCATTACACTGCACTAGACCCATTACTGCACATTGCTCACGACTTCTAGTCAATATAAGCAACTTCTTATGAATACTGAAGTCAGATCCTTCTTGTGGAAAAGATGATCTTCCTGTAGTAGCTGTCCCACCTTGACTAATGCTTAAAGACTTACATACGTCTCAGTGATGCTTATTGCATTTTTTCTTGTCTTATTCTGCTTTAAATGTAGTTTATTATTTCTGAGATATCTCTAAGACACTATAATGCATTTCTGCAATTCTTAAAAATCTGCACTTTGCTGGTACTCTTTGCAAGTCTTCCTGTGTGCTTTATTTGCTATTGCCCTCAAGTTTCAACAACAGATCGTGTAAGTGCTTCAGTGGCCATCTCTAGAACTTGTTTTCTTAGTTGTTTGATGCTAACTTGTCACTTTAGTGCTTGCCTAAATGCTGAGGCCTTTACAGTGTCAACCTTTTAATAGATTAATGTTTTTTTCTGCCAGTAATTCATCATTATTGTAGTGTTGTTTTGTGGCATCACTGATCCAGAGTAGAAGAGTACGCAGTTTTGCTGGGAATATTTATGCTTAGCACTGAAGTATTTCTGTACTGCAGGCTTCTGCATGGATCTATTAGTCCAGCACTTTTCTAGATGCATTTTCTTATGGGCTCTCCTGTCTGTCATGGCTGGAAGACATCATCATGACTTTAAAAACAGTCCATCTGATAGAAGAATAATAATTATCATGATTTGTATTTTTCAGTCTTCAGATTGCAAGGACTTCAAATGTATTTATAGATGGTTATAAAGGAAGGTGTATCAAGATAAATGATGATCATAAATGAAATCCCCTGAAAGAAGTCTAGTGTTGAGGCTTCTGATCCCTAAAGTAAAAGCCTTGGATGTCCAAGAACAATTACAATGCTTGACCACAAGCCGCAGGCAAGAAATAACAAGGCAGCCTAATCTGCAGTGGACCATGTTCCAGAACCTAAGGGCTCTGCCAAATATTACCTACTTGATATATGGAAAAAACACTGTTTTATATTTGAGTAAGATTTCAGAAAGCTGGAGGCTCTCTGTGAGGGTAACAGCTCCTTTGAGCATGTCTGTAAAAAATAAAAGACATTCTTTATAAAATCTACCAATTTTGTTCCAGTTGCTCTGTTAATGTGCTGTTTTGGTAAACCAAGGCTTAGTTGTGCTATCCTTGAAGCACCTCTTGACACAACTGGATATTGATGTCCCAAGGGACATAATTATTATTAATATTATTTATTATATTAATAGTATTACTAATTATTATTAATAACATGGGATACTCTGGTGTGCATGAGTACATGGAGCACTGATGAACTGTGGATGGCTGGTGTTACATGGTTCATGAATCACTCATAATAATGCTGTGATTTATCAGAAAAACAATTCCTGCCACATCTGTGGAAGTAGATTAAGGATGAAGATAATTAGGTACATTATTTGTATTCAGGTTATCAGAAAGACTGATGTGAGATTAATTGCTGTTTCAAAGGAAGCCACTACACTGATTTTTGTAAAGAAGTTTTTTCTTATTGACTCAGGACTGCCAGAAGTTGTCCTGTGACTCTTTTATTGAAACTAGTTCAGAAAAAGCTTCTCAAACTTAGAAACTAACTGGAAAATAAAGAGGGAAGCACTATGATTTGGGGAGAGAAAAAACAGGATATACTGTGGACCAAAAGGAGATGGTTGAACTTCTAGCCTGACATTCTCTTTGACAGTTTTTAGCACCAGAGTGTTTTAGTATTGTTAAGAGTTTTTGCTGCTTTTGTCCTGAGAAGCAAAGCTTATATGTGAATCTTGAAGACCTAGCTTCTGAGAGGAAGCGGGGTTTGGGTAAGTAACTTTTTCATATTGCCATGTTACCTCTTGGCGAGTTGTATTCCTTTTTGTAATTATGCAACCAAAGATTTATAGCTGTAAATGAAGATTTTTTTTTTCTTTAGGCATAGTCCATAATTTTTACTTTTCCACATGTGCTCATGTGTTTAGATCTGTGTTCATGATTTAGGATTTTTTTCCATAGAACAAAATAAGTGTATTTTTCCTGTTTTGACTAGTTCTCCTTCAGTGTATTTCTCATCTCTTTTGGAGGATAGGATAGACTAGACTAAACTGGGTGGGAAAGGTTCTGTAGCATAATCCAACTGTTAATATAACAATGCCAAATCCACTCCAGTCCTAGATCCTTCTAGCCTGTGATACTTAATAAATGACTGTCATTTATTAGATTAATGACTAATGGAAAATACCTTTGTTTTAAGAAATAATTGATCCTCAGAATGTTGTAGAATTAAAAGTTTAACTCTTTAAATGTCAAGAAAGGCAGAAACCTTAGTTTTGAAAAGTAAGGAACATCTCTGGCAAATAGTAAGCATGATCATCACCAACACACTTCTTACAACAAAAAAAATAAAACTTTATGTAGCCTCAGCAAATACTCACAGACTAAATTCTTAAAACCCAATACCCACCCAGTGTTGTGAAATCACAGTGATTTTTCAAGAGCCCACACAGAAAATTGGTTGGTTGTCTGGAAAGACAACTCCTGAAAATTTGCTTTGGCACTGAGACTCCTGTGAACAGTAATTTGAAGTGGAGTTGAGGCCACTGGAAATGTTTGTAAGCTTCTTTAAATGTATTTGGTATGTAAATGGTATTTAAAATATAGAGCCAAGAGAAATTAAGAGCCTGCTGTCAGCAAGGGGCTATTATGGTCTTCTAGTTTTTATTTACTCTCTTAGATAAGAGAGTAATGAATAATGAAGAATAATGAAGAATACCAAATGCCTATTGGTATATCTAGGCTGTGCCAGTCAAGAGGCTCTGTGTTTACCAGAAATATATTTTTGATCCCCAGTTCATCTAGGCATTTGGGTTCTGGTCTTACATGTGTTATTCATCAGTAAGCTAGGCCAATCTTACTCATCTTTAAACTAGCTCAGAAGACTTTTTTCTGTTTGCATGGAAAAAAAGGGAGCCTACATGGCAAAGATGTATTATAAATTATCAGAGTCTGCCAAAATGTAAAATGTATTTAGTATTCATGGAATGCGAGATTTTGTCTGGGAACAGTATAAGCTAAAGACGTATGTGAGTAAACTCTGTAATACTATTGCTGATTCAGAATGGGAAATGCTGTTGTGCTAATGGTCTAATGTAGTAGATGATGTCAGCAAGCTTCATAGTTACATTCTGATTTTTGTGGACCGATCAAATAGCATGTGATGGACTTGAGATCAGTAGTTAAAATGACCTTAAAATGTCATAAACTTTGAAAACTTAGTCCTATGCTTTCTGTCCTAGATACAGTGTAATCTGTTTAACATTTTTATGTCGTTTTAGACCCACCTTGCCAGACAGAACTCAGCAACATTCAGAAGCAGCACGGAGGAAAGAAGCTCCTAGGTGAGCCATAGATCATTCTCTTGAAGGTTTTATTGCTTACATAAATAAGCCTAGTGAAACAGCAACATAAAATCAATATTAATCCAGCGAAGATAGACCACAGTAAATTTCAGCAACAAAATTTATGAAATTTTTGAAAGCTATTAAACTTAGTTTTATTACCTTACCTACCAAAAGATCTTATGTCTGTTTTATTACCCTGATAGAAGGTACGTTTTTACAGTTATAGAGAGGACAGTCTAAGGCACTCCTAAATTAGTATCTCTGCTGATCCTTTAACTGTAATATTCTTTAAGTAATTGAAATCTTTGTTGTAAATCAGTTTATACTGTATCAATATTACTGAAGTGTAAAATCTTCCTTTTACCATTAGCCACTGTATAAAAGCTGCAATAAAAAGGCTTAGCCCAAAGCAGTCAAAACTGTATTTCTGTGAAGCATGTTTCTAAAAAGAACTATACACTTTCGTATGAATGTTTTGTTTGTTGTGGTCTCTGTTTTGTCCAAATGAAAACCAGTGGATTATTCAGCCTTAGGCAAGTCCCTGCCTCACAAAATAAGTCCCTCTTGTATGTATAAATGCAAATTTAACATTCATTTTTTACAGTTGTTGGTGTGTTACACTGCATTTGTCTTCTGTGGTGAAATAATCAAATAGTACTATGTAACTAGGTGGTTTGTAAAATACATATTAAATACAATTAACTCCTTTTAGCAAATTGTTAGTCCAGGAAGCCTGACCCTTACTATTCAGACCTCTCTGTACTCCACAGATGATAGAACTTCCCATTCAGGAATGGTTTCTACATTTGAGCCTTTTCCCCAGAATATAGTGAATATCTTGACCAAGACATTCAGGAAGAAAGGAATATGTATCACAGGACCAAAAAAAAAAATTTAAAGGGAGATTGCTCACTTTATTTCTTGAAATCAGTCCAAGACTGCTATGTGTTATTTGCCCTCCCACATTTGATAGATTGAGTCACTTTCTGCTAACTGAATTTGGTAGAAGTAAACCAGTCAGTGTAGAATCTGGGATGATGAAACAACAAAAGGTTGTTGCTTTTTGCTGTAATTGTTACGTTGGCCAAGGGGCAGATTTTATTACGCTTACTCACTACATATCTGTATGTCGCAGGGCAGTACATCCCCTTCTGTGATGAAGATGGGTATTATAAACCAAGTCAGTGCCATGGAAGCATAGGGCAGTGCTGGTGTGTTGACAGATATGGTAATGAGGTAACAGGATCCAGAACAAATGGTGCAGCAGAATGTGGTAAGTTAAAAACCCCTTTGTGCTATTTACTTTAGAGGTGTTATTCCCTTTGATTTCCAACCAGGTTAAATTTCTTCAGTAAGAACAGATGTGGGACACAACTACATGGATTTTAATGCAAAAAATAACAGTCTATAATTTCTTATTGTTATTACTTCATTATTTTTTGAAACTCCTGTCACTGGAGTCAGCTATTAATAGACCCCTTATATGTGCTTGGCATAGTGTACATAAACCCAGGAAAAGTTAATTTTCTAGAGCAATATTAGATAAGCCCCAGAATGTTTGATGGAATTCCTTTGGGTAATCAGCATGCTAGTGAATTCAATTTGACTTTTTTTCAATTTATATTTGAGGAAATTACCAAAAGTTTTTAGCACGCTAAACCTTCCCTTATTTTTCACTTCCCTACAGCGCTGTGCAGTTTCTTCCAAGAATTCCCATGTCACCTTTATTTGCTGTTTATTTGATTAAAAGATGAAAAAAAGGATTTTATTCTTTTTTTAATAGTCATATATGACTCCTTTTCACTTCTTCTCTAACAAAAGAACATAGCCTGAAGCAGAAAGTAAATTGAAGACAGTATTTGAGATACAAGCTCAGACCTGTTGTCCAACTAATCCAGAATCCTTTCTAGATGAACAGTTTGATAGATATGTAAGAACTGAACAGTAATCAGTAGTCTTTACTGTCATCTGTAAGTTGGACTTAAATTTTTTTCAGTTATTCACAGCATTCATTACAGTTCTAAAAATCCATAAAATTGTTTCCTTTTGTTAACATTGAGAAATTCATTCACTATTGAAATGGATTTCTTTTATGACAAAAAAGTTTGCATAATTTTTTATATTTTATTTTTATGTGACACACTGTAGTTGTCCTGAAAGCAAATATTCGGTGTGCTTATGTAAAATATATTATAAATACATAGTGGATCTTGTTAGTCTTTTCTATAACTATCATACCTTTTTAGCTGTCGATTTAGAGACTTCAGGTGATTTTGCCTCTGGTGATTTCCATGAATGGACAGATGATGAAGACGATGAAGATGAAATAATGAATGATGAAGAGGAAATTGAAGATGATGATGAAGACGAAGGAGATGATGATGTTGATGATGACGATGATCATGATGGGTATATTTGATTATATTAGGGGGTCAATGTATTGTACCTTTCTAAGTTTCTCGAGATGACATTTCATAAAATCCCTTTGCTCTCTGTGATCAAAAGGGTTCTAACAAATATGTATATTTTGTATGATTATTTCAAATATTGCAGCTGGAGTCATAGACTTTTTTGTTTAAATAAGAATAATTATATTATGTGCTTTTGAGTTTTTAAATGCCGTTACGCTGAAGAAAACATATTGGAAGTCTAGCCTGAAGAATAAAATGTTATGTGCTACTGGAAATATAAATGTGCAAAACACAGTATAAAGACAACCATTCTCTTTAAAACTCTGGTGAAAAAATATTTGCCCTTACTTGGAACTGTGCATGTCCTCTTCAGAGCACATACCATAATTCAGCTTAAGTTCTATCAGTGTTTTAGGCCTTGAAGTCTTTGCAGGTTGTCCATGTTATAAATCAGAAGTGTGTTGCAGTAGAAAAGTCTTGATGCACAAGTAGCATCTCACCAGCCTTTAATTAATCAAACGTACAGAGAAAAATTATCAGGAGGGAAGACTAAAACGAAGTCCTCCATTGGGTTTGCATTTGTAGTTACATTTTTTTATGAAATGGCTAGATTACTGAAAGGATTTTTCAAAAGCAGTAGCACGGACAAGCATCAATTCTGTAATTCTACAGTTTTCTTGCCCTTTTTTTTTCTTTTTTTCATGTCAAGACAGTATAAGCTGTATCATTATTTACTCAAACACTACTTCACCTTTTGTTGTTTCTCTGTATTTCTCTCTAATCAGATTAGCATAAAATATTTACATGGGGAAAAAGATTTGCTTAAAATTGTATTACCTTTCTACATGACTGTATTTCAGAGTATTGTCACTTGATCCAAGGTAGTTTTTAATAAATGTATAATGATGTTTTTTATTTTCTTAATTCAGGAAATAGTTTTGCTCTATATCTTAATTCATGTCATTTTCTGTTACTAGTGCAGAAACTTAGAGAACGTATTGTAAAGGTGCCTTGCAAAATAGAAATAGAGAGGTTTTAGCATGCATACCAGTATAGGATATTAGGCAATAGCTAAGCACACCCAATTACCAAATTAATACCAGTATAGATACTGCTGCTGGAATGAAGAAAATGGATTATTTTAATTTTTTTCCTATTATTATGTAATTACCATGTGGACTAGATTATACTTATTGTGTAGAGTAGCACTTAAGATTTGACTGTAGAGAAAATTACTTTATTCACTGTATTTATGTTAGCATGTTAATTAATTGTGTAGACATTTTGAGACTCCATCGTCTTCATTCATATCCTACCTGTTGCTTTCTGCCCACAGTAAAATTGACATGACCTGTATAATGTATTACTACAGGATGTAGTTTGAAAAATGGATCACTGGTTTCCCATCCTTTATTAAAAGGAAAATCAGTTTCTTATTTGAATTAATTTCTATACATTAAATACTAAATCTATTGTTTATTCTATGTAATATTGAAAAGTATAATGCATTTTCTTTTTTACTGTTTCTGTATAGTTTGCAAAATAAAGACTCTTGTAACCAACCTAGTGTAGCCCATTATTTTGACTTTTTGTGTAGTCTGAAATTTTGAATCAGGACGAATTCCATGTTTCAGATACATTTTACCTATTAAAATATGTATTTATTTGAATAATACCATTTATTAATTTTTTATTTCCATTGAAGAATATTTGACTAAGACAAAACCCATAGCAAGCCTTTGTTTTTCTGTAATTTTGTTGATTTTTCTCTAGCTTTGTTATTTACTGTTATGACATTGTCTTCATTGCATAGTAAAGAAAGAGAGATATTTCCTTTCAAGCTTTGTTGTAATTTTTGGGGCATAGTTGTATTATTTTCTTAAATAAAAATAGTTAAGAGTTTACGATTCTGGCAATGGGATTTTGTTAAAGGTCAGTTTCTTAGCACTGAAATTAACTGATATAAAAATTGATTTTAAATGAAGCTAAAGAAAAAGTGTTGTCATTATTGGCTGATACAGCAAGTACTGTTGTGGAGGGTTTTGTGATGTAATAATGTAATTAGATGACAAACTGAAAATGCATTTCATTAAAACATGTGATATTAGCAAAATTAAAGTGTGGAAAGAAAATTCATAATATGTTTAGTCTAATAGGATTGCAATATGAAGACCTTCCTGAAAACAACTGTCATGCAGAAGACTATGGAAGAAGTTTATATTCTTTCTTCCCTGAAAATTCCCCACTGAATTTGAAGGGGAGGGAATATGCATGCATTTTAGTCCCTGAGCATCAAAGCTATCTATCATAAATTCAGAAGTAAGTTGAGATTGCTGAATTTACTAAAGAACAGGGACAATGGAGATTTGGGATAATTTTGGATCATTTTTGTGGAACAAAACTAAAACAGCAACAACAAACACTTGGGTTATTACTCATTTATGAGGAAAAGCCAGAGAAGAGGTTGGTAGTATAAGTCTTCCTTTGAAAAGATCGTTTCTGTTTTTTTAAAAATAGGTAACTGTCTGTGTATTAATACTATAGTGTTGCTTATCTTTCGTGATACCAGATCAAGTGGAAACCACTGAAGCATTAAAGAAATGCAGGAAATCAGGAGCAGGTAGAACAAATAAAGGCAAAGGCTGGTAACATAAACTTACTAAATACCTAAATAATTCCAAAACTTTTTCCTTTTTTCAATAAAATGCAAAAAATTTGCACAGACATCTGTCCTCATGACTGCAGTCATGCAGAAAGCAGTAGGGAGCCCTTGACTATTTTTATGTTGTCGCAGTCACTTGGTTTTTTTCTTGATCTTGTAGTTCTGCACATGTATTTATAGATATGCAAAGACAGTGATATAAATTTGGAGATTTTGAGACGCAGTGATTAATCTTTGTGCTCTTCTTAGGATGTGGGGAATTATAATTCTCAGTTTCATTGAAAAATAGGGAATACCAAGTTCAGTGCTATGAATTATTTTATAGTCTTTGAAGGGAATATTTTAGGTCAAGCCACAGATATGCTTAGTTTAAAACCACATGAGTTAGTGTCATTAGTTTGCTTGTACAAAAATTGGATTATTTTACAAGGCTGAGGAAGACTGACAGACCATAATGATAGTAGGAAAATTTTTACCTGCTTTGTGCACAGGGACAAGAACTGGATTTCCTTTAGTATTATTTTAAAAACTTAGTGCCCAGGTGGAATAACAAAAGTTTTTCAGGAACTGGATTAATTTTGTGCTTCATAGGAAATTAAAAAATACCTGTATTTACAGATTCTTCATTAGAGCAGTGTATGTGTTTCTAATTACTAAGCTTTTAAAAACTGGATTTAAATAAAGCTGTGGCAGCACAAATTTATTTAAAATACGCTAATCCTTTTTACTGGTTTTCCACTAATCTAAATATGTTAGTTGCAAATCATTGGCTCATTTCGACTAGTGCAGTGGACATTAAAGTAGTTTGTCAACAACTTTCTGTGTGGAGAAAGAGATTGGAATTAACACGAGGAAGAAAATAATGTATTGGAAGAATCTTTGACTTAACCAGTTACCACTGGTTGAGTAACTAAAACATCAAGTTTTGAAAAACTCAGCCCACTCCTGAAGGCAAGTACAATACTGGACATGCTGAATTGGTAGAGTAACCCTTTGTCATGACTAGACTGCTGCTAACACAGTGTCACTGGACTCACTGTACAGGATGGGTCCACTTAGCTAATTTTTTAATTCATCCACTTAAATGGCAATAGAAATTACTCTTTGAAGTCAAGGAACATAGCAAGAATGGGAAAAAGAATTGCCTTGCCTAAAAGATGACATCTGTGCTTGAATTTTTTGTTGTGTTTCAGGTGCTAACTGAATCAAATCCTGAAAAGGAGACTTCTGCACTGTATCTGTCCTCTTGAAGGTGAGTTTTACAAGTGAAATGTGTGTGCCTTTTTTTAAAGAGAATCTCCATATTATAATGTTAGTAATAATGCAAGACATTTTACATCTTTTCACCATCTTTCCATAAAATTCCATAGAAAAATTTGTTTAAAACCTCAGACTCATGCCTGTAACAAATTTTAACCAAGATGCTTGAAATTCATCAGTTAAAATCAAAATGGACAGGGAGGTTACCAGTTCTCCCCCTCTGCCACTAACATTTGCAGCTGCTTTGTATGCTCTTGGAGCATTCTGCAGTCTGCTGAATTTAAAAAAAAAAAAAAAATTAATACACATCCTTCCAGCTCGAGTCATGGTATCATTATATTACTCATCAGGCAAATGCAGTTTTGAAAGAGCCAGCGTCAAGCACAAGGCACTGAGGGTATGCCCTATAGGTCTTGCTATTGACATCAGATACCCATTTTTAGGAAGATTCTCAAATTCCTTTCCCTTGTTGTGGTTTATTTACTTCACAGGCTTACACAGTGACATGTGTTGGTGAGGTTAAGTTGTCTGCTGGACTTTGGTTTCTGTGAAGAAGAGGAGGTTAGAGCTCTTTTGATGTATAGGTAACACTTCTGATTGATTTCCATGTGCCTGAGGGGCTTGGAGGGCACAAGGAGATTTATCAAATTTGGGATGTTAGAACAGAGTAGTGGTTATCAAAACACTTTGTTAATTTTGTTTGAAAGCTAGCAAAAGTAACTCAGCCTTTCTTCTCTTTCAAAAAACATTCAGCAATAACAATCTATAGGGAGAGTCCAATTTTGCAGCCATAATACCATGATTCTTTTTCCTTATCTCTTAAGACCTATGCAGTTCTTTGAAAATGTGCTGTAATTCAAAATTAATTGGGTTTGAGCATTCTGCAAAATTTCTTGAGGGCTTGTTCAGTTTTGTTACACTTCTGTAATAAATTCCATTAATGCACATGAATTCCATTGTGATGCATTGGCGTTAAGGAATTGAAACATACTTTAATTCAAAACCTATTGGGTGAAGTTGTTTATTTTCTAATGTAAACATTCATTATTAAAGGAAACAAAGCCTCAAGATGATTTTACAGGTGCCGTCAGTATAAATCCAAGCCAAATCCCCCAAAGTAAAAAATTACTGTAAAAACCTTCTTAGGAGGCATACATTTTAAAATTGAGGTTGAAATGGTTAAAATTTTCTTAAAAATTCTTATTGCTCTAACATCTGAGGCATTCATGTGAGAAATACAGTTGTATTTATAGGGAAGTTTGTATATTGATTTTATGTGGGGAAGTTTTCGTGTTTGCTTAGTGCAATGAAGATTTGTGTGCAAAGCTGATGTCCCTGGACTGTGTCATTGTGATTAATTGTCACCAAATGGATGTCACAAGTTTCTAGGTTAGAGTAACTCAGAGTGTGCATAATGTGAAATGACACCATATCAACACAGGGTGATGGTACTAGTCTGTGTTTCTTCTTGCACAAGTGACCTTGCTTGCCTCCATTGCCCCGTATGGTTGGAAACATAGACTAGTTTCCAATGAAGTAAATTAAATGTTGAGCAAGACTATTACCTTCAGCAGTAAGGATCTGTCTAGGATCTGTCAAGAGAAATCTTACAAAAATATAGGAAGGAGAATTCTTTGAAGGCACAGCAGCTTAAAACGCATGGCTTAGATGAGACTGATAACTCCTAAAAATTCTGTAGAGAAAATCTACCTCTAGTTTTAATTTATACTGTGAAAATGTACCTGAATATAATCTTTTCAATTATTAGTTAAAAATACTCAAAAAACAACCCAAAGTAGTAATGCTGTAAGCAAGGCAAGTTTAAAGGAAAGGAAGGCAGAAAAAATGGATGTGGCAATGATTGGGGCTGCATCTATGAATTTGAGTAGCTGACTGATCCTATCATTGAATAAAAAAGTGTGAGGATTGTAAATTCATTATTCATGCTGTTCTTTCTTAATTTCAGCACACATTCTTTTATTAGACTATATATAGCTATATGATAGCATATCATTGACATCAGAAATTACATGTGAGAGCTGAGTTCAGTTCCCATAGTGGCATCAAGGCACAATGCATCTGTAGGAATTGCACCATTGACCAGCCCAGAAGCTGGGGACATGTTACTGACATATTGAATAGTTCTTCAGAAGTAGCTTTATAGCAGATGTTTGTCCAGGTGTAATCTAGTACATCCATTACAAATGCTTGCCTGACTCAGTCCAGGGAATTGTCCAGTTGTTGTTTATATAAATGGTAATTTACTTAGATTCTGATGTAAGAGTGGAATAATTCCACTAACAGTTGTATATTTTTTCCACTAAAATAGCTTGATTTTGTAGTAGCAACGACTTTAATGTTTTATCTGTCTGCATAGTAACTTTCATTTGAACCAGCAATACTGGCAGAAAAAGCACTGCCATCTAAGGACATTTCCTGTATCAGTTTTGTAAAGACAAAAAATGTCAGTACTGCCATAAGGTACGTCTTAAGGTCAAATAGGTAATGAGTATTTACAATTCCCTCCTATGATTCTTAGATTTGACTTTCACCACTAGCTGCCTGGTTAACTGTTGTCTGGCCGTACTTAGATTTCAATTATGAGAAAGCGAGTGAAAGCTCTCTTTTTTTACCCTTTCA